GAGGGATCTATCCAGAAGCTTCCATAAGAGTGCTAAAGGGGGCAAGGGGACCATGACCCCCCCCAAAAAAAAAGTGATGAATTCAATGCTTAAAAGAATGCTGATTCATATAAGACTGAATAAAAGCTGGCTTCACAGATAGGGTTAAACTTATAAGGGAAAAGAAACCCCAAAAGGTAACCAAAGGCCCTGGGAAGTGATTTTACAATTTTTTGCTTGCAGTAATCCAAACTTTAAGGGAAGGTGTATTTCAATGCCAGAGCAGGATCTTCCCTGAAGGAGCTGCCTTCATTGTGGCTTTACCTCCATCTGCTGGTGCCATATGAAAATAACTCCATCCCATGGAGTTGCAGAAGAGATTGGTAGCCTGACTCTTAATTTTAGGAGCACTGGCCAGGGTAGAGGTTAGAGTAAGTGAAAGAATGAAGGAGTTTCTGGAACAGAGTGAAAGGGCTAATCCAAATTAGGATCCTTTTACTCTGAAAGTTAGGGAATATGGTCTTGAGGTTCACACGTAGACCCTCTGCTCTTATGCCAGCTCTTCCTTTAAGTTTAGAGCTTTCCAACATGGAAAACCTATTCCATGGTGGTGCTGGGGGATGAAAAACAATAACTAAAATTATTGGGTGTTTTAGTACAACTCCACAAATAAATCCACTTTTTTAAATGAAAAAGGTTAACTCAAAGTTAATATAAAAGCAACACTGAACAGATAATTTGGACCAAGTGAATGATTCACAGAAATTGTTTAATATGGCATGTGAAAAGTATAATTTACAGGTTAATCTTGTTATTTAAAGTATCACAATAGCTATTATATTTTAATAAGCTAGCTTTCCCCCCAAAATATCAAAACTAAAATACCTCACCATTCTTTAATAATTTTCAGCAATTAAAATCCAACTTATTTTTCTGAAATGTTTGTCTTTTTAAAAATGAAATAATATCCTTTCTTGATGGATAAATACACAATCAATTTATAGAGAAAACCTACTAGAGAAGTTGAAACTGGTACAAAGACAGTTTAAGTAATAAGAGAATTGCCTGTGTCTGATGTTATGTCAGTATAATCTACTGAGAAATTAACATTTTTGTAATTTACGTTACAAATGAGTTAAGCAACAGATATAGTTGTAGATGCTAATTTGGTTGTATATGTATAGTAAGTTGTTGAAAGTAATAGGGCAGATTTGTTCATTTGCAAACCTATTGATGGCACTGCCATCAATATATATATGTGTGTGTGTGTGTGTGTGTGTGTGTATATAAAAGCTATCTACATATAATATATATATATATATATATACATTTTAATTTTAATATATAAACATTTTAATTGTTTTTGCTTTTTGTTTTTGTTTTTTTGCTAGGCAATGGGGTTAAGTGACTTTCCCACAGTCACACTCTAGTAATTGTTATGTGTCTGAGGCCGGATTTAAACTCAGGTCCTCCTGACTCCAGGGCCAGTGCTGTATCCACTGCACCACCTAGCTGTCCCTTAATTTCTTTAACATTTGAATGGGTAACTGTCCTGTGAAAAGCTAGAGAAGGTATCCATTCTTGTGGGTGCTTGCAAAGTCTTTTAAGGGGAGTGGTTATGCAGGATAGGAACAGCAGGAACAAAAACAAAGCACTTGAGTTCATTGGCAGCCAAAAGGTTTGGTAAGACCCATTCCCTAAAGAAGGTACCACCCTGACCCTAGGTTCTGGGTACTATATATATCTTGTAAATGGACCAAACTAAAATTAGTTTAAGAAGTAAGAAGTTGAAGATCCTGGTTTTAATCCAGAATAGTTCAAACCAGTTTGCTTCCTCTGAGCACCTTGAACTTCCTTTCCTTTGAATGGTGAAATGGCATTTCAGGATTTTCCTTTCTACCCTGCCCTGCAAATCCTCAACAGTTTTGTTAAACCTTGCCTTTGATTGATGCTTCCTGTCCATAGTCAAGAGGCATTTTGTAGAGTGTTATCAATGGGTGGGGGCTGGTCAAAGACTCAGCCATAAACTGAGTTTATGGAAGGAGGCCTCCAACCCACTGTCACAGACACTTTCATTGTCTTTGAATTTACAAAATTCACCTGAGGAGTTGTTTAGTGCCAAACAGCTCTCTTGGCCTATGCTTGCATGGAGTTATTAAACATCAGTAGGCCTGCATAACAGACATTGAACTCCCCTCTTTATTTCTGCCAACACCTGTCTCCCAACTTTCACTTTCCCCCATCACACACCTAATGAAACCAAGGAAACGTTGACTAAGTGTGCCAATGACAAAACACTGTGCCACGTAAAGGACAGTACATAGATGGGAAAGAAGTCCTCACCTTGAAGAGCCTTAAAGCGCGGAAACAACTGGCTAGTAAGCATACTCTGTTTCTCTTAATTGCAATGAAATTAAAATAAGAACAGAGGAGTAGAGGATTTCTCCTGGGCACAGGCACAGGACTGGTTCTGAGATTCAAAGGAGACGTTAATTTCATATTCGTTGTATGTGAAGCGGAGGCAATTGCCATAATAAAATCTTTTCCCCACCCTCTTTTATGATGGACATGGGATGGATGGTCAATAGCTAAGCAAACACTTGATCGCTTGGTAGAAGGTGGCGAGGTGGACAGAATGGAACAGGAACCACACCCTTAGACCTTTTATTAAGTAATTTATTTTCAGTTTTCAGCATTCATTTCCACAAGATTTTGAGTTCCAGATTTTCTCCCCATCTCTCCCCTCCCCACAAACCCAAGATGATTTGCGTTCTGAATACCCCTTTCCCCAATCTGCCCTCCTTTCTATCATTCCACCCCTTCTCTTATCCCCTTCCTTATTTTCCCGTAGGGACCGGATAGATTTCTATACCCCATTGCCTGTATATCTTATTTCCCAGTTGCACGTAAAAACAATTAAAAAAAGTTGTTTTTAAAACTTTAAATTCCAAATTCTCTCCCTCCCTCCCTACCCATCCTCATTAAAAAGGCAAGCAATTTGATATAGGTCATGCATGTGTGGCCCTAGACCTTTTATTGAGTGTTCTACATACCAAGCATTCAACACTATTTTCTGTCTTTAAACTATTTTGATAAAATATTTTGTTGTTCTTTAATCATTTTGGTCATGTTCAACTCTTTGTGACCTCATTTGGGGTTTTGTTGGCAATGATACTGGAGTAGTTTGCCATTTTCTTCTCTAGTTTTTTCGACAGATGAGAAACTGAGGGAAACAGGGTTAGGTGACTTGCTCAGGGTCACACAGCCAGTAAGTGTCTAAGACCAGATTGGAACCTCAGGAAGATGAGTAGTTTTCCTGATCTCAGGCTTTGCACTATACCCACTGTGCCAGCTAGCTGTCCATTTGATAAAATATGGGATGATTTTTTTTATTTTAATGAGACCATTCTGGAGAAATTAAACCAAATTTCTTCTTAGTGGGAGATCTCTGTAGGAATGTGAACAGCTTCCATGAGTTACTGAATATTCTAAAGAAACCTAGGCCTTAGGTGACCAAATATATTCAAACTCTTATCAAATGGTGTTAGGTTTGTGAAAATTCTGGTGGCATGTCTCACATCTACTCGAGGAAATAACCCTAAATAAATAAAGTTCATTATGCATTTCACCCATTATATAACATTTCTTTAATTTTTTTAGAATAGATCAGCACAATGCTGGTAGTCCAAGACAACTGTTCTCACCCTGCAAGAGGGGCACACATACAACTGGCCTACTTTCAGTGATATCTGAATAGAAAACTAAGTAGACGATAGATGCCCTACTGGTTTTATCTGTTAATCCGGACAAAGCTACTTTTATTGCTGTGATTACTACTGAACCAGCTTAAATTTAAGGTGCCCCAGAGGCACAGGGAATGCGACTCATTTCATTCTCAAAGAATAACCTCCTTGGGGGTTCCATCATTAAAACTCTTCCTAATTCCTGCCCCTTTTATCTGGAGGTGCCAAGCTAGAGGTGAGCAGTATCTAGCCCTGGAAACCTCGTAGTGAAATGCAATGCTGCATCTAAGGAGAGATTCTTACCTGGGGTCTGCAGTCCAACATGGATAGATTTCAAGTTGGAAGGGGGAGGGTGTGAACTTGGATGGGAAAAAGAGTTCCACCTTTATCTCAATAAAATCTGTTTGGTTTGTAATCCCACTAATTTATTCTGAGAAGGGGGGTCCCAAGGCATCCAGGACACAACTAGGCCCCCTGATCTACTTTTGCCATTAGAATTGCTCTGGTTCAAACAGCTGCTTCTTCATTAATCTGCAAACCTTTGGGGCATTCAAGCTGGCTGCTCCTAAAATTCCTGCTTCCAGAAACTCAAGATCTTTTGCTTCCCAGCTCTACTGGCAATGGCAGTGGAGAAGTGTCACCATCATACAGCCTGTCCAATGCACACCAGGGCAGAGGAAGAAAACTGAGCCAGAAACCAGAGGACTGGAACTCTGGTCTTGGTCCTCCCACTAATTAACTGAGTGATCTCAGACTTTATTTCCTTCCTCTATAAAATGAAATGGATTAGCTGAGCCCCCAGGTCTCTGAGCTTCAAAATTCTGGGCCTCTAGGGTGTGATAGAGTATCTAGGTGGTGCAGTGGATACAGTGCTGGCCCTGGAGTCAGGAGGACCTGAGTTCAAATCTGGCCTCAGACACTTACTAGCTGTGTGACCCTGGGCAAGTCACTTAACACTGTTTGCCTCAATTTCCTCATCTGTCGAAAAAGCTAGAGAAGAAAATGGCAAACTACTCCAGTATCATTGCCAAGAAAACCCCAAATGGAGTCATGAAGAGTTGGATAGGAATAATTGATTAAACAACAACAAAGGGTGGGAATTCCTGCACTGTGATAACCGAGGTTAAGAATGACTAATTTAGGGGCAGCTAGGTGGCACAGTGGATAGAGCACCGGTGCTGAAGTCAGGAGGACCTGAGTTCAAATCCGGCCTCAGACCAAACAATTGACCCTGACTAGCTGTGTGACCTTGGGCAAGTCACTTAACCCCAACTTCCTTAAAAAAAAAAGAATGACTGATTTAGGAAGTCCAAGGTCAGGGAGCAGGGGAAGGTGCCTGCCAACCATTCACACAGGAATACCTAGACTGTGTATCATTCCCCCATCCTCCCAAGACACAGCATTTCAAGTTTGTAATCATTATCATACCTAGTTGCTGTCTTACAGAGGAGAGTGATGGGGGCAGAAAATAGATCTGCTTCATAGTCTGCTCTTTGATTCCCATGGATTTACTGAGGCATCAAAGGCTTTCTGGATGACTTCAATTGCTTGAAGTCTCAGGGCATCTACCAATTCCCTTGTCATTCCTCCAGAGACCTGTGAGACAGAAGAGTAAAAATAGCATTTCTTTGTGAGAAACATTACAATTCTCTTTAACAAGAACAAAGTGAGAATCTTCCCCATTTGCCTGCAAGTTTCAATGCCCTATCTCTCCCCCTCAGCTTCCCTCCCTCTTGCCACTGTCACCCCACACACTGGAGGAACAGAACCATCACTGGTCAGATGCAAATCATCAGAGCAGAGTGAGGAAGAAAATGTATCCTTCTTGAAAAGATTCAATTTCCTGTTTCATCTCTTGAAGACCACTCAGAAAATCAAGGAAGCTGTTTATAGTGAGCACAGAGAAAGAAATGCTGAGACAGTGAAACCTCCACATCGAGTGGAGCCTGGAGGGTTTCCCTGCATAAGGGAAGGCTACAGTTATTGAAAAACCTGCAGCTTGGGATGGATTTTTTCAAAAGAAAGACTTCATCCCCATGTTGTTTCTACAGTCCGTATCAAGTCACACTCTGAATTCTTAGAAACAGAGTCATCAGCAGGATCATGGGCTTCATCGGAACCCACCTCTCACTGTCCACACCTCTCGTCGTCCACACTACCCTCTGGCATCAAGGATGTTTTCCACTGGGCAAGAATGTGCGTGTTGTTTATATTCCAACCCACTTATTCAATTGAGCAAGGGTGCTGAGCTAGGAGGAGTATTGGGGAACTGTTTTCTTCTCTCTTCCTCTATCCCTTGTTTCTCTCCTACACTCCCTTTCTTTTTCTATTTTTCCTTTAACTCTCTATTGTCTCTGCCCCCCATCTCTGTCTCCTCCTCCCTCAGGGGGGTTCTAAGGGTAGAAAGTCAAACCCTTGTTGGGAAGCAGGGACCCAACCAGGACAACTTTTCAAATTTACAAAGAGACTTTTAGATCTTCAAACTATCATTTTAGTAACCCATGGGCACAGAAGGTGGCATGCATGTGTTTTTCTAGAGCTACTGCTTCCTTTCCTGCAGGGACATGCATGAGACCCAGCCTTATTCCATTATTAAGAGCACTCCGAGCTCTCATATTCCAGACTTTCACCACCATCTAGTTCTAACGAACCCTGCTAATTAGGGTGGTTTGCCCCATTCTGCAAAGGTCTCCGTCTAGACTGTGGTCAGAATGTAACACTGGCTAAAAAGTTGGTCAAAAAGAAGACTCAGGGAGCAAATCCGTCAGCTTATCATGACCCAGTGCAGACAGATGGAGGAATTTGAGACACATGGCCCAGGCACTTCTGGCAACATCTAAGACATAGTCAAAGGAGAAGGAATCTTATGTAGCCAAAGTGAGCACTGGGTTTCCTAAGAGTGGAAATATTTTCATTGTGTGTTCTCCTTTTCAGCCTATCTCTAAGACCTTAAAGACTCAAGAGAAATAGAGTAAAGACGACTGTAATCAAAAAAAGACTGACTGATAATATGGGAAATCTTCCTGATTGGACAGCTGCACTGAGGCTTTATAATTTTTTATTTCTAAATAGATGTTATTACAAATATACAGATCCCTGCCCACCTCCAAAAAAACAAAAAACCTTTCCAGAGAATACTTAATAGTTCAGCATTTTTTCTACAGCAGCCAGAGAAAAACTAGCCAGAAAAACAGTGGATAGCTGCACTGGACTGGGAGTCAGGAACATCTAAGTTTGTTTGAATCCTGTCTCAGACTCTCACTAGCTTTGTGACCCTGGTGGGCAAGTCATTAAATGTCTGTCAGACTCAGTTTCCTCATCTATAAAATGGGGATAATATTAGCACCTGTCCCCACGAGGTTGTTGTGAGAATCAAAGGAGATAACATATGTAAAGTACTTTGCAGATGCTAAATGCTAACTATGAGAGCTATTATCATTGTGTTCATCCTCTATATATTATTTTCCTAGAGCCCTTGGAAAACCCCAATGTGCTTGAGAACAGCTTTTCAGAGGAGGTGCCTTTACTATTCCCAGACTAGGTCATGAAGGTAAGCTAGTAACAAGAAGTGCCTTTCTTCCTCTGAGTTATGGGGGTGAGGGCAGGTGGAGGGAGCTCTGCCTCCTGACTAAGAATGGCTGAAGACAGCCAAGGCCAAACACCAATGAACAAATGCTTAAAATGGGGCATCACCTCATAGTTGTCCATTAGAGTTTTGGAAGGAGCAAGACTCAGCCGGAAGGCATTGTTAAGTATCCCCAGGCCTTATTTCTGCATCAGTTTTTGTCTGGATCAGGCATTTCTATAACTTATAAAGAGCAACTTTGCATCTTCATTCAGCTGCTTCATATCTTCTGAAGGGGATGAAGCCACAAGAGAGACAGAATGGGTTAATGACTGATGGCTCATGAAAGCGTTGTTCTCTCATCCTCTCACAGTGGAAGCAATCAGACTGCTTTATTTGAGGATCAGTCGGTGCCCTGCTGAGCAAAATTAATATGTATTTCAGTAGGTTAAAACTGGGCTTTCTCCTTCCTCATGCCTCTAGGATCTTCAAACCCTAAATGAGAACTTGTGCTTGATACGGTATGAAACATTTTTTTCCCCTAAAAAACATGCAATGACTTGCATTTTAAATTATCATTAAGAGAAGGGATTTGTATTCTGTCACAAGCCAGTAAGTCACTGGATGTTGATTACGATTGGTACGGCTTTCCATTGAATATGGCACAGACCTTTTGGGAAGAAGAGAGGGAAATGTTACATATTAATGGGAGCATCTTGGGGAAAACTTCTTCCCAACACCTCAAGCTCACAGAGTCCCATGCTTTCTTCACCTTTGCTATTAAAGCTAGCTGTTAGGAAAGGATTTCTCAGTTCAGTCTTTGTGATGGGATGAGTGTTAGGTTCTCTATGTGTCTCCCAGTTGCTGTGAAGACCTCCTTATTGATCTGCAGGTGCAGGGACAGCAAAATGGACCAAAATCTAGTATCATGAAAGCAGTCCCTTTGCTTGACCAGTGCCTGAAGCAGTGATGGAGTCTGGGGATGCTGATGGCCCAGGGGTTCCTGCTCTCAGAAAGCCAGCCGGTGTGAAGGTGGGGGCTGCCTGGGCTCTGCTGGTAATTGTCTATGCTGGAAGCCTCTGGAATCCCAGAGCATCTGTGTATGGGCCAGGGAGTCTTACCGCCTCCCCCCCGGGAGGCACCTGGGAACCTATTCCACACTGTGAAGCAAGCATTTGTCTCCCTTCAAGGCTCCCTCCCCCAATCCTCGGGGGTCCTCCTAGGGTCCTTGTGCTTTCTGACTAAAACTTGCTGGGACAGGCATGACTTGAATTCAGCTCTTCCTGAATCCAAGCTCTGCTCTCCATCTGCCATGCTAAGTTGCCTTTCAAACTCTAGTATTAAGGCAGAAATTCTGAGAAAAAGCTTAAATTAAGGTTATGATCTCAGGGAAAACAGGAAAAGCTTAAGCCAAAGTGAAAAAAAACATAGTGGTGAATTTCAAGCAGCTGTCGGAAGTTGGGGGTGATGTTTGTGGGATTGACTGAGGGATTGTTTTTGGTGTCCCCCCTGAAATCACAGGACATAAGCAGCTGCCTGTTTGTAAGGACAGTTAAGGGAATATGTAGGAATTCTACATTAATGGTGCCATAACCATTCATTTTTATGTTATGTGGGTCATATAACAACATAACTAACTTGATAAAGGTAGGATACAGGAAGGAGGGCTGGGCATCTCCAAATGGGGCAATGCTCCAGTGTGGTTCTGGCCTTGTGGTCAGTCCTGCTGTGCCCTGTTTACTCTGGACAGAAATGGGACACAGAAATGGGTCACTTTCTCAGATGACTTCACCACAGAGCCCAGAGCCATGAGAAGCTGTACATCAAGGGAAAAATATGCAGTGTCTCTGCCAGGGATCATTTATGACATCAAGATGAAGAGTGTTGAAGGTGAGATGAGCATTCTTTTACAGTGTGTATGCATGCGTGTGTGTGTGTGTGTGTGTGTGTGTGTGTGTGTGTGTGTGTGGTATCCCCCGACTATACTGTAAGCTCCATATAGTGCTCTGTATATAATAGACACTTAATAGACAGTTGAACTGGATTCAGAAACCTGGTTAGACTCACAGAGCTTTTGCTACATCAGAAGTCTTCCTGTTGGCCCCCTCCCTCCTCCTGGTGCCTTTCGCTGGGCCAGACTAGGGAACCTAACCCATGTCCCAGGTGGCCTCTCCCCTCCAGAGCTACGAGCAAAGTCTCTAACTTCGATAATTCTCTCTGTCCTTGCTGCAGTGCCAGGAGGACTGCATGTTGTTGTTTAATACTTAGCTGAACAAGCCACAAGGTTCGTGGCAGACTACAAAGTCAAGATGCCGAGGGCAGGGCGGTTCTGATTTGGCTCAGTTTCCCTTCGTACTCTATTTTTCCTCCTTCCCAGACCCTTTCTACTCTCTCAATTCTTATCACAGAACCACCTTTAATATCCAGAATCTAAATGGTCTGAGTTAAGGCAACAGAGGCTTTTCAAGGTTATGACATATCTTTAGAAGCAGGATTTCTCAAAAAAAAAAAAAAGAGAGAGAGAGCACAGTGTTCAAAGAATGAGAAACCAGGAGAACACATGGGCTTCCTGACACATTTTCTGTTCTTTGCCCTATCAGCACTTTCCTTCTCTACCTCAGCCAGTGATCAATAAGCTGAGGATACTCCTCATCTGGGAGTTGGCCACCCTATCCAGAGTGGTGGTCTCAGGAATTATTCCCTCATCTTCTCCATCCTGTCCTCAAACATCACCCAAGTCAAACGAAGTTCAAAGTTCTCCAAAAGAGGATCTGCACCTGAGGAGTAATGTATAGTAACATATATCAAGCTGGATTTGGAGTCAGGAAGACCTGAGTTTATTTTTCTTTTTTTTAGAGGCAATCAGAGTTAAGTGACTTGCCCAGGGTCACAAAGCTAGTAAGTATCTGAGGTTAGATTTGAACTCAGGTCTTCCTGGCTCCAGGGCTAGTGCTCTGTTCACTGTACCACCTCACTGCCCCTGAAAACCTGAGTTTAAATTCAGCCCCAGACACCTATTAGCTGTGTAACCCTGGACAAGTCACTTAATTACCAGCGACCTCATTTTCTTCATCTGTAAAATGAGATAACAATAAAGCCCACCTCCCAGGGTTGTTGTGAGGATCAGATGAGACAATATTTGTCAAGTCCTTTACAAATATTAAGGTGCTATATAAAGGCTAACTAGTGTCATTATTACTTTATTTTTCAGTTAGTTTTGGTACTTGTATCTCTGCTGGCGAAATCTAGTGGAAGTCAGAGGCAGTTATGTGTATGATTTGTAACAAAACTAGCTGATGCCTAAAAAAGTGAGAGTATTTCCTTAACATTGCTTTAATTTTAAATTGAATATGAAATTGACTCTGAAGTCTGGTCAATTGGCTAACAGAAAAAAAAACCAATCAGCTTGGTTATGTTATGTATCAATGACTAAATAGCACATATTTACTTAACTTCCATCTTCTGAGTGTTGAATCTTTGTACCTTTCAAAAAACGGGCTATGGGGCAGCTAGACGGCGCAGTGGATAGAGCGCTGGCCCTGAAGTCAGGAGGACCTGAGTTCAAATCTGGCCTCAGATACATGATACTCACTAGCTGTGTGACCCTGGGCAAGTCACTTAACACCAATTGCCTTGCCCAAAAAACAAACAAACAAACAAAAACTGGGGCTATAATTGGTAGTGTTGGAACATGAGGTCCTTTCTTGGGCTGTTGAGTTCTGAAGGCCAATAAAAAGGTAACAGCCTAACATCCTAGAGTCAGATGAGAGAACTCCACCTGAGAAGTGTAGTTGATTCTCTTCCCTTCAGGTAAGACTGTACCTAATCCAATTTAGGAATTGGAGATGGAATGACTTCTCAAAGGTAGCCAAAAAGTGTTTAGTTTGGAAAAAGTATGGCCTAGAGTCTAAGGGAACAACCCAAGCACCAGTTGTAACTTTGGTATATCTTGCCATCCGATTTCTTCCTATAGATGCTCAATGTGGGACAAAAACCACCACGTTTTGCCCATGTTAAGACATTATTTCTTGATATCCATGTAGGTAACTAGGTAGCATTTTTTTATCTAGGTCTTCTCCGGATCATTATCACCTTAGGAGGGAATAAGTGTTCTATTCAGAGTGTTTGTATCTCTAGTACTCACACAGTACACGAAAGAAGTCCTTACTAAACATTTGTTGAACGATCCATTTGCAAACCTGGAGAAATTCAGGCACAGAAATTAAGTGGATAGAATTGGGAAATCTGAGCTCGATTGGCTTCACAAATTTGAGACTTCCAGGCTCTCATACCCCACTTCTTTCATCTGCATGCTTGCTTCATTGCAGTGTTATAAAGACTCAAGAGAAACATTTATTTTAAGGATGTAAAACTTCTTTGTAAAGGTGCCCCCTAAGACAAAGTAATAAGTCTTTTGAGACCTCTTGTTGATGAATGTATATACATCATCAACCAGTCAACAGTCAATAAGCATATATTAGCTGGTACCAAAAACAGTAGGGCTTCCTATGTGCCAGCTGCTAGAGACACCAGGAGAAGCAAAAACCAGTCCCTGCTCTCTGAGCACGGCCACTTGCTGGAGGCAGGGTTCATTTTCCCGAGGGAAAGGGAAAGAGGCAGGACACTGCTGTTACTGCTTTGGGAAGTATACTGATTAAAAGGAGAAACAAAACCCCTCAACTTATTCATTAAAAATTTTAACACCTTTCTTCCAAGGAACTAATAGTAGAAACCTGCTCTGTTTTTGGGGTCAGAATATTCTTTGAAGGAAGTCCTGCTGGGCTTAAGGCATAAACTTCAGCCGAGATATAACCTTATCCAAGCTCATTTTCCTATTTCTAAGACCAAACAGAATCATGGTCTATGTAGGTGAATGAAATCATGAATGTGGGCACTATTTTTTCTTTCCTTGCAAAACACCAGCATTAGCAGTATCACATAGGGGAAGTTTTTCCTAATTTGGATCTCTGATGCTTCCCAGACATGTCTCTCATGTACAAATACAAGCAGGTTCCAATACCTGGTACACTCGAATCCACCTTTTCTGAAACAACCAATCAAGATGGGAAGCCTTATGAAAGGCTTACCTAAGTTTCCCTAAATAGTAAACACCTTTAACGTGTTTACAATGGGATTTAGTTTATGGAAGTCCCAAGTATATCTAACTGCAGCATCTGGAGATCTGTATCATATAGAGATGGATGTCTGTCCTTCTCTTTCAGCCCTAATTGATGCCTGCATTTGAAGCCTGATATTTTCTACAACCCTTCCCTTGCCCCCCGCTATTTCCACCTGCTGCTTTGAGAAGAACTGCTAGCTTTGGGGACCCTTGTCCAGCAGCAATGTGAAGGGGGGTAGTTCTATCATAGGTCATGCAGAACATGTAGGCATCACCCTACAGTGCTGCCCACCAAAAGAGAGAAAGAGTGAGTAGAGGATGCCTTCTTTTGTGTCCATATTTCCTCATATCAGTATGGTCTTTTTCTAAGCCATGCTCAATAGCTGCATCACTATTGGCTCTGCTTTGCCAGAGCCAAAGTCAAAAGAGAGAAAGAGACAGAGACAGAGACAGAGAGAGACACAGAGACACAGAGAGAGACAAAGAGACAAAGGCAGAGAAACAGAGAAGACAGAGACAGAGAGAGAGAAATCTAAGGTAATGAACTGGGGGAAATGAAGCCACTGTCAGTGCGGATGATGCAGAATTGAATGTGGAGGAAAAGCTATTGTTGACACTGTTTTCAAAAAGAAGTTATTCAAACCATCTTGGGCTTTTGATTCTCCCCCAACCTCCCAATAAGTTTTATCAATGCCTTTTGCTTTGTTTTTGCCAGTTCCTGAAAATTCAGCACCCTTCCAACTTATCAAGAGGGGATGCCCTGGTATAACTTCTAAGAACCAAGGATTCCTTCCATCCTATAATCTGTAGGCTAAATTCCAATTACTTATATTTGTTCCCCAAAATAACTGGGAGTTAGTTGGCTCTCTCAAAAAATCTCCTTCAGTGAGTATATCTCTTATTTTCTTGACCTATAGATTTTATTAAAATTAAATTGTATATTTTTAAATTAACATTTTTTTTCTCCCTCTAGTCCCTCTCTCCCAACAATGGGTGGAAAACAAGTCCTTATGATATATACGCATAGTCAAATTAAACAAAATCACTCCTTGGCCAGTGCTTAGCACAGTGCCTGGCACATAGTAGGTACTTAATAAATGCTTGCTGACTGATTGGCCATGTTAAAAAAATATGACCTACAAATTTTAAAATGTCAGTATTATAAATCTTAATTACAGAAAAAATGAGAAAAGGATTTCTTGGTGGTGATAGAGAAGAATAATGCCTTAATTAGTCCCTAATTTGGGAAATGTATTTTGAGAAAATTAAGATTAAAAAACATAACTGCAACCTGGTGTGCCCACCCTTTTCCCTACCCCCATGTTACTGAAAGAATTAAGCACACATATTCCCATCAAGTTTGGTTACTAGATTACTATTAATGAGGTGAAGTTGATTTGTTTTATCAGTCATAATACTGAAGTTGAAGCTAGGTGGCGCAGTGGATAGAACACTGGGTCTGCAGTCAGGAAGACCTGAGTTCAGATTTGGCAAAGGACACTTACTAGGTAAATCACTTAATCTCTGTTTATCTTAATCTGTGGGAGAAGGAAATGGTAAATCACTCCTGTATCTTTGCTAAGAATACTTCATGAACATCACTGGCATGCTGTGGTCCCCAGGTCACAAGGACTCCCTAAACAAAGAAACAAATACTGAAGTCAGGCTTCAGCTGTGAATTTGTGAACCAGAAGACAAATCAGCAGTATTAAGTAAGTCCTTTAACTTAATCACATTAACTTGTAAAGTGATAGAGATAGAGACAGGACTTGCAGTGTTATTGGCATAAGGAATGGCCAAGTGAGGAAACCCCCTCAACCAATACAGGTTGTTGGCCTCTTTGCTGCAATTCTGAGACCATATCATTGTAAATAACCGAGAGCAGCTGGACAGGGAGGAGTCAGCTTTTCTCCCTAAAGTAAACCTATGGGGCATAATCTATGCCATACATAGTTTCAGAGGGCTACCAAGGGCACTTGTCCTAGGTCACAGAATTATCCAAATATCTGACTGGTATGTGTCAGAGACAGAACTTGATCTCAGGTCTTCCTGGCTCTCAGGCCAGCTCTCTATCCAAGACACCAAGCCACCTCAATTGGGAGATACTATGGAGAAAAAAAAATAGACCTGCATTTATGAAGCCTTGTTGTTCTTTACCCATCCTCTCCTCTCCTTTGTTGTCAAGGAAGCAGGAAGAGTAAACCAAGGGGGCTGATAGAAAGTGTGTTTTCCCTTGACCTGGTAAGTAGACCAAATGATCCAGTGCTTCTGAGCACCCTTAAGTGTGTTCAAGGATATAGCTCGGTGAGTTCACAAGCTTGAATCTCCTAGTTAGTCTTATTGCTCTAAGATGGATCATTTCTGGGTTTGAATATAAGTCCTTCCTGTTATACAAGCACAACACAGCTGATTAATGCATGTATTCAAATGATATGACTATCAAGCCGGATTGGAACCTAATGTGAAATGAATCCTGTCTTTGGAGTACCTATTTGCTGAAGAAAAAGGAAGGGATTACACTGAATATGGCTGATGGGGGCTAAAGGAAAACATTTTGTGCAAGGAGAAGTTGTAAGAGACAGCACAATGAGATTCATATCTTTATAATAGTCCCACCAAACATTAAGCTTTAAAAGCCTCCCTAGTACTGATAGGGGCAGCTGGGTGGCAGAGTGAATTGGGTACCAGTCCTGGAGCCAGGAAAACCTGACTTCAAATCTGGTCTCAGACACAGGCTGTGTGACCCTGGGCAAGTCCCTTAACCCTTTTTTTGCCTCAGTTTCCTCATATGTCAAATGAGCTGGAGAAGGAAATGGCAAACTACTCCAGTATCTTTGCCAAGAAAACCCCAAATGGCAAGAAAACTCATGAAGAGTCAGACACAACTGAAATGACTTAACAAAAACAAATGGCACAAGGCTTTCAAAATATTTCCAAAAGAAAATCTAAAATGAGGGTCATGCCAAAGCCCTGGCTATAGGTGAGCCCTTCTGCAATTGTGAGTCATGGACCAATGGAGAATCCCCTACCTGAGTCTCCTTTTTGTGTCATAAGAGATCAGTTCCTTTATTACTTTCAGCATAATAGAGAAAGAATATGATGAGAATCAGGAGTATAGAACTTTTTACCTTTCAAGAAACAATGACCTGTCACAGAGGAAAAATAAATCACTTGAGAACCACATACAAGTAACTTAATAGATTTTTGTTGTTTTAAAATAGAAAAAAAATAGTTTTTAAAATTAAGAACTGGGAACTTCAATCAGTACAGCAAAAACAACAACAAAAATCTTTACTTCATTCTCTAGCTCAGAGAGAGGACTTTCCCTAGACTAGGGAAATATTTGGGCAAAGGGAAGAATAAGGGGATAATTGGAAAAGGTAAAAGGAAAACAAGGAAGGCACAAGAAAGAGGGGGAGAGGAAAGACAACAGAGCAAAATTTGGAGGGGTGGCGGGGAGAAGGCAGCATCAAAATAGAGAAAGATAAAGGGAGAAGGAAGAGAGTGGGAGAGACATTGTGATGTGTAGAGAAGGTCAGGATCTGAAGGGTGCCCTCTATTCGATGAAGACCTCCTAGGCACAGAGGGGTGGGTGGTGGTTTGATCTGTGTGAGTGGAGGGAGCAGCCATATTAACACAAATTGTTCAAAGTATGTCCCTTTTGCAATGTGGTCAAAGTGGATCCACTAATTCTCCAGCTGGTGTCATCCTCTGGATATATTTAAAGAAAATTTTTGGTTTTGGAAACCCTTGTAAGGTATTCTCCAGTTTCTTTTAAGGTCCACATAATTTATAGGGTACTAAAATATCTTGTGAGCACTTTTTGAAATACACCTTTTCTCCTGAAATCATCTGCTTTTGTCAGTTATAGTTTGAAGCATTCCTTTTGGAGCCCAAAATATTTTTAATTCTTTGTGTACATTTATCCTGGACTTTCCATAAAAGTAGTTTTTTTTCCCTCAATAGACTTTAGGCTTCTTATGTATTGGTGACTCTTAAATTTTCTTCTGCTTCCTTCCCTCAACACATAGTGGAAGCAGGAAGAACAAATGGTCAGTGCCTGCCTTACCTAAAGGTTTTGAGTCTAGAGTGGTTTGACTTAGTATGTAGAGGATCTTTTTATGATCTTATTAAAGTTATGACACAGTGTATGTAAGACCTATTACATTTTAACATATTTCCCTTTCCAATATTCCAAAATAGAAAAAAACCAAAAACACCCAAACGTGGATTCTTTGGTTTGTCTTTTCATTTTTATTGTTCAGTGCTTTTTTCGGTCGTGTCTGGCTCTTCATGACCCCATTTGGGGTTTTCTTGGCAAAGATACTGGAGAAGTTTTGCCATTTCCTTCTCCAGCTCATTTGACAAATGAGGAAACCGAGGCAAGCAGGGTGATGTGACTTACCCAGGGTCATACAGCTAGTAAGTATCTGAAGCCAGATTTGAACTCACAAAGAGGACTCTTTCTGACTCCAGGGCCAGTACTCTATCCACTGTGCTACCTAACTGTCCATATCCTTTCATACCACAATGTTAAAAGTTAATTGTGTCACAATTGTTATGAGCATGATGGCTCACCAGAAACAAAAAGGGTTTTTTTTGTGATATAGAGGATTTTAAAGATATTAGCACTAAAGACTTTTCAAAGCTGTGCCATATTTTTGTAGCTATGTATAGGGATAAGTGGAAGTGTAATCAGGAATTTATTGAGTGAAATTTATTCAAGTGCCTAATATGGCCCGTGTCTTAGGGCCTGAAAGTTTCTATATTACCTTGTATTTTAAGAAGTTTCTTTAGCCAACTTTAAATTTTAAACTTAGTTTTTTTAAATAAAAACGGACATCTCTACTTACCTAGTAGAGCTTGTTTCTCCAGTGAATGATGTCATCAGAAACCAAACTTCTAGAAGGTTCTATACCATTTCAGCATGAAGGTGAATGATTAGTAAGCGTAAGAAGCTAGAATGTAAAGATAATGACAGTAATCAATTAGTGGGGGGGAAATCAGTTAATAAATTAACTCGTTCATATTTAATGGTCTAGAAGCAACAATAAGAGGTTTTCCAAGAGAAAGATGACGTTTGTCCCTGGTGGCCCTTTTAGAGTGTCCACATTATGCCGACCTTAATACCATTCAGTAATAATGACCTGGCCAACGTGGGCTAAGAGGGTGGAGGAAGAACGAAAGAGTAGACAAATAAACGTGTATTCACTAGGTCCTCAGTGATGCCAAATATTAATTTTCCTGGAGGAGAAATGTTAAAGTGCAAGATTTATTAAATTAACTTCTGATTAACACTGTGAAGGCATGCTTCCTTACTTAGGTATAGACAATCCACTAATCCAAGGATCCTTGTTGGCTATCACCTGGTGCAGCCTAGGGACTCCTCAGAATCCTGTTTTGGAAATGCACAAAATAAAACAAAAGATGATAAGAGAAATGTATGATATTGAAATTAGTTACCACAATGTTAAAAACAAGCTCATGGTTAAGAATGGTTAAGTCATCCAGGTGAAAAACCCTTGCTTTAAGAGGACATCTTCTTACAAAGTAATAAAAGAGAACTCCCACAGGGCAAGGGCTCACATGTGGTCAGAAGAAGCAGTACAAGGACACTCTCAAGGTCTCCTAAGATGTTTGGAATTGCTTGTTTGACGTGGGAGACGCTGACACAGGACTGCCCAGCATGGTGTGCCCTCCTTAGAGAAGGTGCTGTGCTCTATAAACAAAGCAGAATTGAAGTAGCTCAAAAGAAAAGCGAGATGAACAGATTTGGAGAATCCACTCGCGATGTTCACACATTTGTGCCCGACCTGCGGTAGAGCATTCCGAGCTCGTATTGGTCTGATCAGCCACAGTCGGACACACTGTAACTGACTCTAGCATGGTGATGTCATTTTGGTTCTTTTTGAGACTAACCAACAAAGTAATAGGAAGTGGCAGGAAGCGATTATAGCTATGAAGTGAAAAGATCCACCAGTTTAACTGTGAATCGAGGGCCATTTTATTCAGACACATTTATTACTACTTGAAAATAAATTATACTTGGGATTGAACATTGGCAAGGAGAGGACTGTCGCATTACATGAGAGGTATTTTTACAAAAATTATTTCATAGCTGAGCTAGGCTCTGTTGAGGAACTGTGCTGTAAGATTTCCATCAACACTTGAAGCTTGGGAAAGGCATCATGCCTATGAACCATTAAAAATATCACACTTTCCAAAACTTTCTAAAGAATTTCCATGTCTGTTTCAGAGAAGAAGTAATTTTCCCTCCTTATGGGACTTTCCCTATGGTCAAGAGTTGTGATTTCTTTCTTTCTTTTTTTTTTAACCTTGTTATTCATGTGATTACTCATGGCCACAGGATTCAGATTGTTAATTAGCTTAAGTGTTAATTAGATTGAAATTATTAATTTATTAATAGTAAATTATTAATTAGATTGTTAATTAGATTGAAAAAAGCTTAAGGAAAATGAACCGTGTTATCAAGAAAAGATGTCTGTTGTCTCTGTTATTACAAATCATTCTCTTTGACTAGACCTCAGCTTTCTAACCTAGTGACAATGATAATGATGAGGAGGAGGAGGAGGAGGAGGAGGAAGAAGAAGATAATAATTATCACTCTTTTCCTCTACCACAAGGTATTGTCATACACACACTGCAGCCTGATTCATTAGGACATTTAGATGCTGCTGCTCTAGATATTCATTCAAATCCCTTCAGACTAGTTGTATAGGTAAAAACAGGTACTCACCATCTGTTTCCCAAGTGCTCTCTCTACATGCTTAAACATGCCTTATTGCCTGGCTTCCCCTGCTCCTGCAGCACATGTAAATCTCCAAAAGCCATTTCTTTTTAAATTTGTCTTTATTCAATGGGATAATGAAAAATTAATATATGTGCCAAATGTTGATGGTGAAGAAATAATTATCTAATTCTAAAATTCCTTCCAATTCTTATGATTGTGAAAATATATATTTTTTAATCTCATAGCAATCGGTTTGTAGACATGATCTCAAGTTCTGATTTTTTTCATTCAGCATTATTTCATGCAGATCTTTTCAAATTTTTAGTAGTCACTTTTAGTTAATAAAGATTTCTATTATGATCTCATTAGCTCTGTAGTTCCCCTGAAAAGTTCACTAGAAAGAAGTCTATCTTCCTTTATCGTTTTCTCATGTAATTACACATTATTTTACACTAAAAATATTTTCTGGTATATAGTTATTGTGGCATCAGATACAAAAGTTGTATGAATTCTCCTGTACTGTGTAATAATAAGGTCAGTGGTTACATCATATTCTTGGTTGCACTGTAAGGTATGAAAACATTGATCTTTGATTGCCTGAATACCCAGAGTTTTTGTTAGCTTTAAGGATCGACTTCAGTTTTCACACTAAAGTTAAAGGAAGAAAAACATCTCAGTGATGAAACTGATTTCAGTAGATTTTAGTCAAAGCACTTGGCTTGTGGCAGTTCATTACAAGCCTCTGAGCCTGTCAGAGGACTATGATGAAAAAACTCTCTGGATTATTTCCAAAGAGAGTTCATGGGGATTGGCCAGGTATGATGGGGACAAAGTTTAAAACTACAGTAAGAGCAGAAATGGAAAGCTCTGTCCATAGGAATCATTGGTGGATGCTATCATTATGACATGAATCAAACATCCTAGCTAGGTACAAACCAAGGGAAAGATTTAAATGTGAAAAAAAACAACAGACTTACTACAATTAATTAAAGTATTATAGAAGAAAGCAGTGACTGCAACAGAATACAGTTACTTATTAAGTCAATAAACATTTATTTATTAAGCACTTACTATGTGCCAAGCTCGATGCTAAGCTGTGGGAATGCAAAAACAGGTCAGACAGTCCTTGTTCACAAGCTAATGGGAAGATGATATTCAAATAAGTATGTACAAACAAGATATTTGTAGAGTTAACCGAGGATAATCACGGAGAGAGGGCACTAGTATTAAGTGGGATTGGGAAAAGCTTTTTGTAGAAGCGAAATTTTAGCTGGGACTTGAAGGAAGTCAGGGAATCCAGGAGGCACAGATGAGGAGAGGGAGAATTCCAAGCATGAGGCACAGCCAGTTGAAAATAAATGGAGTCAGAAGAGATGGTACTTTGTGTGAGTAACAGGCTAATGTCAAAGCATCATACAGTACATGAAGAAAAGTGATGTGGAAGAAGACTGGAAGGGTGGGGGTATTGGGAGGGTTATGAAGGGCTTTAAACATAAACACAGAATTTAGTATTTAGTCTTGGAGGTAATAGGGAGCCACTGCAGTTTACTAAAGGAGAGGGGAGAGTGATATGGTCAGACTACTGGGCTTTAGGAAGATCAGCTTGATGACTTCTCTGTAGCCTTTTGAATGACGTTTCAGTGCAAACTCCGGCTGTCTAAGGAGAATAATTTGTGGCTAGACAGAAAAATGTTGTTCTAGATAAGGGGGGAAAAAAAGGAACCAATGAGGATAAAGTGGAGTTGAAGATATTGCAAGCAGTAACTAAAAAGAGAGGAATGACCTGAAGAGAAGTGGATGACCTGAGGATGAAAAATTCTAGAAAAGTAAACTCTGCCTCTATCCCCAGGGATCTGTTCAGGGGTCACTGGAAGCTAGAGTGTTTGAAGGCTCATCTCCAAGGACCATTTTTTAAAAACAATCTGAGGAACCTAGATACTCATTCAGCCTTGGGATAAAATGGATGACCTCATCACCCCTCCTTCCTGGGACTTGCTTGCAAGCAATGTCTGAGTTGATGAGCACCCTGCCAACAATCAGCACAGTATATGAGGCAAGCCTTTTCATCAAGGACTGGACCTCTGTATAATCCAATTCAGTACTCCTTCCCAGCAGGCTGCACTATCTCAGACACTTCTATGTAGGGATGATGAAGACAGCAATCCCAGCTAGGGAAGAGTGAGGCAGCTGATTTGAGAGAGCCTTCTGGACTTCTTTTCCTTCCTTCTATATCTAGACAGCCAGGTGGTATAATGAATGGCTAGAGCATTGAACATGGAGTCAGGAAGACCTGAGTTTAAATCCTGTCTCGGGTACTTACTAGCTGTGTAACCTCTGAGCCTCAGTTTCCTCATCTATAAAATGTGGGTAATAAAATCTCCCAGGGTTGTTGTGAGGATAAAATGACATAATATTTGTAAGATGCTTAGCAAACTTTAAAGCATTATGTAATGTTGGCTATTATTATAGTTGTTATCTGGCTATCTCAGAATGCCACCCCCCCCCACAGTCATTTGAGAACTTGGTGAGATCCTTGCCATCTCCAGGGCCACTCCCTTCCCTTTTTCCCCTTCACCAACGTCTTGCTTTCTGTGTAGTTCTACTTACTTGTTCCCATTGTCCCATTGATCGTGCTGGTAGCTAGCAACATCTTCACATTGCCAATCACTGCATAGTCAGAGAGCACTAGCATGCCTTTTAGCAAGCTGCACGGCCCTCTCTGGAACAGGTCACCTGCAAGGTAATCATCCATCTGCTTCAAAGAGCTGATAGTGACAGTCATAATACAGTTTCTTGTGCTTATTTCTCACAGGCAATTATGCTCCCTGACAAAAGGTCAACATGCAGAAACCTTTAACCCACTTTCTTTTTGAGATGTGCATTGTTTTATTTGAAAAGATTTAGGGCCTTACATTAGAAGAAGTCAACAGTCCTTCCAAGAAAATAAAACAGTCTGAGAATTCAATCTAGTGTTTATTAAAGAGAAAAAAATACTTGAGGGGAGAACAGAAAGATCTGCCTACTTAAAGGGAAATGAGCAATCTATCATTCTGATCTTAATTCTTCCACTTTTGATAGACTCAGCCTAAAAACCCAAGCCATATTGGGCTCTGATTGAGAGGCATAATCAATCCCTTAGTGAAGTCAAAATTTCATTAGCTTCTGCCAGCAGCCATTCCCTAAGGCAGATTTGTTATAAATTAAAGATCAAGGTTACTACTCTTTGGGAAAAAAAATAATAGGGCTCTCAGTCTCTAGTTCTCTTTCCCTCTGAGACTGTAAGAAAGAAAGAGATCATCTATCAAAAACATATAATTGATCTGCAATTGGAAGACAGTGTTTTTATTACTTACTTTCTCTTGGCAAATAGCCTAGAAATATCACAGATACCTGAAGCAGTTCTCAATATTTTCAGCAGAGGGCAGAAATAATCTTACAACGAATCATTCAGAAAATGGTACAGGAGAAGGCCAGGAGAATTGTTTAGCCTGTCTTGTTTTCATACAAACCTTCACCTGAGCCTGGTTGAGAATTCTGAGGATGTTTGGCCTGGAGAAAGCTTGGGCAGGGTTGAGGAGGGGGTAGATGGCTCTTGTGTGGTAGAAGGATTAGGTTTATTCTTCTTGGGCCCAGAAATTAGACCTGGGAGTGACAGGTAGAAGCTGCAGACAGGCAGATTTAGGTTTGAGGTAAGAATCAGAGCTCTCCAATGTGCATCAGGGCTGCTTTGGGAGTGAGTTTCCCATCCCTGGAGATTTTTGTTCAGGGTCTGGGTTACTACTTTTTGAGATGTTGGATTTTCCAGGTTAGAATAAAAATGACCTCTGAGATCCCTTCCTACTTCCAGATTTAGTGATTTCCTTTGTAAGACACTTCAATGGGTTACTAAGAAAGGTTAGAGGGAATCTTCTCTGAATTTTTAAAAATCAGGATAGACACACATCCTTCTGGTATGTATTATTTGAGGCAGTTGTATTTGTAAAAAAAAATGCTGCTGATGGTACTGGTGGAATAGAAAAAAGACCTGACATGTATGTTCTATACTGCATCCCTAGAGTATAAAATTCTACAAGATATACTATATTAGTTATTAATATGTCTGATTCATCTTAACATTAGAAAACAACGATAGACCCTTTTAATCACCTTCAGGAAATACCTTGCTCTCTAGAACCCCCAGTAAAGATTAATCATTTACCCATCACAAACCCTGTAACCTACAGTTTCCTCCTGTACTCCTACTGTGCGTGTCAAAGTAACCTCATCTTCCCTGATGACTCTGGACTTATCTTCTTGCTCTGTGGTTTGTAGCATTTTCCCAGAAAGTTCTGCAGAGTCTTTGTTATCTCTGTCGTCATGGCCTTGCTCAGATGAGGAGTCTAGAGTTCCTAAAAATAATGAATAAAGATCAGCTGGTTCTAAGTCTAATCAACTCCCCCCATTATAATATATGTTAAGGAGGGCCTACTGGAGGACTCCACTGAAAATGGAGAAGAAAGAAGTTATTTTCAGACATGATTTAAAAATGCTTATGAAAAAAGCAACACATTGTTAAATAACTTTCAAAATTTCACTTTTTTAACATCTAAATTAAACAGTTGTGTTATTTTAAGAGGCTAAATGTTTCTACTAATGTAAATGAACTTTAAGTTAAAAAAGTATATATAAAGAAGTTTGTGGGTAATCCTTTTTTAAAAAAATTATTTATTTTTAGTTTTCAGTATTCACTTCCACAAGATTTTGAGTTCCAAATTTACTCCCCATCTCGCCCCTCCCCCACCCCAAGACAGAGTGCATTCTGAATACCTACCCCTTCCCTAATCTGCCCTTCCTTCTATCACCTCCCTCCTTCTCTCATTCCCTTCCCCTTCTATTTTCCTGTAGGGCAGAGAGATTTCTATGGGGTAATCCTTTTTTGTTCTTTCTATATTTAACTATTCATGTTTGTTGAAGATTAAATTTATGATAAAAATTTTTTTAAAAAGAAAAAAATTAAATTAAAAGAAGTCCAGATACTTTTCTTTCTCCCTTATTGTCTATTGTTAGAATTAGTAGGCTCTGCTTGAGTGTTCAGAGCAGCTAGGTTTCTTCAAGCAAAAGTTGGATGACCCCTTGTCAAGGGAGTTAGATAGGACATTCTTGTAGTTCAGAAGGGGCAGCTAGGTGGCACAATGAATAAAGCACTGGGTCTGGAGTAAGGAAGACCTGGGTTCAAATCCAGCCACAAACACTTACTAGCTGTGTGACTCTGGACAAGTCACTTAACCCTGTTTAAGCCTCTGTTTCCTCATCAGTAAAATGAGCTGGAAAAGGAAATGTTGAACCACTTCAAATGGGGTCATAAAGAGTCAGATGTGACTGAACAACAGTGACAACAGCAACAGAGTTCAGCAGTTCACAGAGTGTGGCCTATATTCCCAACAGGTTCCCAAGGCAGGGGATGTGCAAGGGCAAAAATATTTTGATAATAATATTAAATATTACTTAACTATTAAAATACTCATTTTCCAATTACATCTGTGGAAGGTTGGGTTTTCTTTATATATTTCAAGACAAGGTATTGCAGCAGATTGATTGCAGAAAGATAAGAGAAACTACTTTTCTTCCATTAAGCCAGACCTAAGAGAAATTTGAAAGAATATACAAAACAATGACATTCTTCTCAGTAAAATATTTTTTTTGTTCTGGAAAATACAGGTTTTTTTTTCATAAAATTTTATTTGTGTATGTTGTTATTTTTAAATGAATTAATAAATATTTTAAAATTGATCAGTTTTACCTTATAATGCAAAAAATGTTGGTAGACAGAACCCACATAAATAAAAGATATTTTAATTTTTAATTTAATTTTAGCAATTTGATTTCCTAATCTTGACCTCTTATTTTGACAGTTTGATTCCTCAATTTTGATTTTCTAATTTTGACAATTTGTATCCCTAATTATTTCCTTATTTTTAATGTTTTGATTCTCTAATTTTTAAATTTTGAGAGCCTAAGTTTGACATTTTGACTTTCTGATATTGAATCCCTAATTTGTACTTTTTAATTTTGACCATTTGACTTTCTGTCTTTCACTCCCTAATTTCAAGTTGGTAATTTTGACAATTTGCCTTCCTAATTTTTCTTATTTTTAACATTTAGATTCCCTAACATTTAATCTCTAATTTTGACAATTTGACTCTTTAATTTTGACTTTCTAATTTTGAATCCCTAATTTTTACAATTTGACTTTTACTATTAACTTGCTCATTTGAAAATCTGACTTCTAAATTTTGACAATTTGCCTCACTAGTTTTGACTCCTAAATTTTGACAATTTGACTTGGTAATTTTTAAACAATTTGAATGTTTAATTTTGACTATTTTTTCAATTTTACATTCTCATCTTGACTTTTTAATTTGATAATTTTACTCTCTAATTTTAGCTTCCTAATTTGATTTCCTAGTTTTTACGGTATTAATCTTTAATACTGACTCCCTAATTTTGATTTTTTTTTAATTTTGAAAATTTGGCCAATGAAGTAAAGTCCGCTGTAAAAAGAAGGGAACTTACATTGGGCAAGTGTTGCTGCATGTACCCAGCTCTAGACTGCAAGGACTGATGAAGGAAATGGGTGGTGGTGGTGGTGGTTGGTCTTTTTTTCTACAAAATGGTACATTGTGGTCCCTGACTTATAATTTTTTCTAACATGTGTGCAGATATTATTAATATTATTTCATGGTCTTTCATGCCTTTCAGCATAATGCATGTCTAGTTTTAATCTTGGCTTCTCTGAGGTCATTACTCCTACTCTTACCTTTCTGAATTCACTTAAAGCATAATACCTTTTGTTCAATTCCCTTATTTTCACTCTCTGAATTCTAATACTTTCAGTGTATCTTGTAAACATCAAACTATTGGTTTCTTCTTTATAGCATTCTTCTACACATCTCCATTTTATGGGTGAGTTCATACTATTAACATCAACTGTTTTAATTGCTAATTGTATATGCTTTCCTCTTCACTTGCCCTTCTACTGTTAAAAACCTTAGCACTAAGCCCTTGGCTTCTTTATAAAAAGTAAGATGGCAAAAGGGAAGGAATATGATGGACATGAATGGTTTGTAGTTGAAGCAATCTGCTTCCAATCTGCTTTTCGCTTCTGATCACTCATACCCCAATTACTGGTTCTTACTTTTTTATTTTTTTACTTCTACTTTACTTCTACTTCAGGATCCAGAATGTAAGTTTGTTTTGATTTTGACTGCTCTTTTCTCACATTATCTTCCTTCTCAACTCTCTTCCCTTTCCTTCCTCTTCCTACTGAGCATGATATATTTCTCTACCAAACCCTGAGTGTGTGTTCAACCCTGTTTTGCCTATTTCAAAGAAAATGAAGGTTCATGGTTTATCTGGATAATGCCCAACTCTGCCTTTTCCTTTATATTTGCACACTTTCCTCACATATTCCAGTTACAAGAAGTAGTAAGTTCTACCTACTTCCACCTTTCTATATCAGTGTTAAGTCCTCATATACTCCTCTTTTTTTCCTTATCTTAAAACTTTTGGAACAGATTCAACCCACCCACAGTCCTCTGTTTTAGGAAATTACCACAATATAATTTGAAGATAGTAAGGTCCTGAAATGACATTTTTTCCCCCTTTATAAATAGAGACCCTATTTTTACCCCTTTTTTGTATCACTGTATATCCCCTTCCAATTGATCATATAAATTTACCTTTTTAAGTTTACTCTTGTGTTTTCATTTTAAAGTTTCTATTTAGCCTTGGCCATTTCATTGGTTATCTTCAAAAGAATCCTCAATTCCATTAAATGTCTCTTTTCTCCCTACAGAATTATATTCAGCTTTGTAGGTTGTTATTCTTAGTTGTAAATCTAAATCTTTTGCTTTTGGAATACTGTATGCTAAGATCTCTTTTTGTTTATAGTAGAAACTTCCAGGGAGGTCCTGAATGATCCTGACTGTGGTGCCTATGTACTGGTACTCTTTCTGGATACTTAATGATACTTTTTCTTAGACATGAAAGCTTTGTATTTTTCCTGTGATGTTCCTGGGAAAATATTTTTTCATAAGGCAATCAGTAGATTCTTTCATTTTCCACTTGAAATAGCTATGGACAGTTACTATGATTTCTTGAAATTTCATGTCCAAGCTGGTTTACATAGTCTGATTATTCTTAAATTGTCTTCCCTTGATTTGTTTTACATGTCGGTGCTTTTGATAAATTTTCATCTTAGATTTTTTTCTATTTTTTATCTCTTAAACTTTATTCTAATATTTCTTGTTTTCTTATGAAATCATTTTTTTTTGTTCATTTTAACTTTCAGTGATCAGTTACTTGGGTATGGTTTACCACTTTTTGTTCTAAGCTATCTATTCTTCTACTCTTTCTTCTAGAACTTATATTTAATTTCTTAATCTCTTACTTCATTTCTTCTAGATATTTCTGTTGTGCTTGTGAAAAACCCACCTTTTCTATTTGAATATATGCTTACAATTGTTGTGAAGTTACCCTCTTCTACTAGATTGGATTTTGGGGTATCTCTTCATCCATAATAATTATTTGTAATACTCAATATATTTTTTTCTTCCAGTTTACTCACATCTCTACCCTTAGTTCATGAATTAGGGCTTTGTACCAGGGCTGGGTGCCACTACCTTTTGTATTTTTGGATAGAGTGGTCAGTACTGCTTGGTCTCACCCTATTTCTGACCTTTACACCTTGGGAATATGTCTACACTAAGGAAGCCACTAGATTTTTTAGGTACCCCCTCAATCTTTAAGGTTTAGAATGCTGGATCTTCGTTGGCATCTGAGGATACATTGTTACAGATGTGGGAGCCCCTGGGACTACAGTGTCTTAGTGCTGCTATGACTATACTGGTTGCAGCTGTTTCAAGTTGCTTCTAAGGTTCACAATGAGATTTTCCAAACAACTGTGGTACATTCTCATTATTTTTTGCCCTTCATATTTGATATCCTTTCAGGCTATAGTTATCCCTGGTCTATCTCCAGTCATGGGAAGAGGAGTCTGCCTTATTATTTTTTCCTGTATTGTATTGGATTTTTTGATCTCTCCTGTTGCCTGTGGACCCCTAACTGACTTTTTCTATAGTTCTGGAATTAATGAAGTCACATGCTATGTATATTTTCATTAGATTTCTTGATCATTATTCAGTATGCTGCTATTTCGGGATTTTTACTTGAGTAGACTAACTCCAACTTTAGGCTTTCTCTGGGAAATTAGATTATAAGAAAAGAGAAAAAGAAAAAGCCTAAAAGACACTTTTCAGCCTTCCTTGGAATTACATAAAGTCAGATAATCAAAATTTGTAGAACTGCTAAAAACATCTTAGTAGATTAAGGAGGTTTGGAGATTAATCAT